TCGATCATCTAATAATCATATTTAAACTGAAAAGGACTAAGTAATGTTTGAGTCAAAGAAGAAAAAAAGAAAAACCCATGTCTCACCTCGCTACCAGTGAACCGGCAGGGGGACAAAACAGGGACAGCATCTCCCTCATACTCGAAAGAAACTCCACTAAAATGAGACTTGGCCAAACCCACCAACTCCTCATGATTCACACCTGCAGACAGAGCAGATTTTATTCCAGCTCTAATCACCCCTGCCTCTTATTATATGTTAGAAAGGAAGCTGACGACTCACCTCCTGCAGCAGCCAGCACCATGCGGGGAGCTTTATAATGGCTGTTGATGTAATCCACCAAGTCCTGACGGGTCAGATTCCTGCCAGCAATGAGTACAAGGACCAGCATTAGTTTTAGCAGCCATGTTAGCTTTACATTACAGTAAATAATGCTGCAGCAGCCCCACTAAGGAGCTACTTTTGGAAGCACAAACTGTATCATTAGAAATGGAGCAGATTCAGCCTGGCTGTTCTGGTAGTGAATGTAATACTTGACACAGACAGAGTAATGTTAGTCTCCATTCCCTCCTACCTGGCACTGCTGGAGGGCCCCAACACACTCTGTCCAAGCGGTGTGCCCTGGTAGGCTGTGGCATGCAGCAGGTCCAGACAGACTTCCTGCAGGTTGCCTTCCACCTCCTCCAGCTCACGCAGCACCACGTTCCTCTGCTGCTCGATTTCTGCCTCGTTCAGCGAGCAGCTCTGCACCACATCCGACAACAACTCCACAGCTGGAGTTCAGTTTGCAGTGAGAAACAAAGGAAAATGGAGTTATGCGACAGAGTCAAACTCATTGCAATTTAATATGAGCAGAGTACTCATGACTTGAACTTCTGAATCGCTTTAAAATCTGATGACTTTTAGGATATCATTGATACGGCCACTTTGTTTGCTCACCTTTAGGCAAGTCTTTGGAAAGGGTCTTCATGTAATAAGCAGTATGCTCCCTGGAGGTGTAGGCACTCAGGTGAGCACCCATAGCCTCCACCTGCTGTTCTAGGGCAGTTTGGGGGTGCTTCTTTGTTCCCTGAAGGGAAAGATAGCTTGATTGAGAAATCAGTGCACCAAAAAATGAGCATCATTTGTTGTATTGTAGCAGTACCGATGGGTTGTTGAGGCGCAATGAAGGATTCCAACACATTGCCAAAATGTATTGATACTGTGCAAGTCAATACTGACACCTGCTGGCCTTTAAAATCCCTACATGCAGCCCATTTGGCATTTACACATATTTTAAGCAATGTTATATTGTGTTATTTAATATTTTCATTTATATAAAAATATTTTTTATATTTTAAGATGCAGCCAATAAATAATGTGAACATATGACATAATTGAAAACTTGAGGTGAACATGTGAGTAAGGATGCTTGCAGAATAGCATTTTAAAAGAATTACAACATAAGTACAGTAAACTAAGTCAATTCGAATATAAGAATCAAAATGATCCTACACTGTTAAAACCTTTATTTTGCTTTGAGGCTGCTCCATATTTCTTCATGAATTTGATAATGAAATGCAAAATATCAGAGAGTTTCTTGGCGGATGCATCCTAGTGACAGGTGTACTCAGGCCAGCTGACAGCCTTGGCTGGGCCTGGGACAGAATTAATAAGTAATTAAATATATTTATTTAATGCAAGCATCTCAGGTAACATTTAAATGTTTATATTTACAAAAAGAGAATTTTCCAGTATTTTATTTTATGAAATATGCGGCACAATTGGCTTTCCATACCTGCTCCAGTCGCATTTGATCCCGATCCCATTTATAGATTTTTTTTTTTTTTACACTTGTGCCAAATTGTCAAATTGGACAACAAAATGTTCTGGTGAAAATCCTTTTTAAGCAGTTATGGCTATACAGATTGTCAATTTATTGGCTTCCATGGCAGTTGATGCGCCATGTAGTCACGTCAGTCAAATTCAAAACATTTTTATCTCTAAACAATATCCATTGTTGCGGTGTCAAGTATAACTTCATCTTGCAAAGACAGGGAACAAAACCTTTACAAAAACCGCTATGTTGTTTTCTCCATCAGAGCGCTTGCAAGCTATAAACTCCTTATCAGGCTTTTGCAGGTGAGGGCGATCTAAAGTTCTGTTCGATCTAAAGCTGTTCCTGCAGCTTGAGGCAGCTTCTTCAGGTGGAAGTCGCTGCATCCTTCATGTTAAAGTAATAAGGTGCAGCCTGACCGATTACACAGGGGAAGGTTCTGTATTTTCCGTCTCCACCTCCAGCCTTATGTGAAGCAGCTTGACAAACTTCAGAGAAACTGCGTCAGCAGCATAACCAGTTAGAAGGAATGGCTGGTGGGGGTACTTCCCAATACTGCAGTGGATAATCGAAAGAGTAATAATGGAAACACTTTTATGAAACTTAAGAATAAAGCTCCAATTT